CAGCAACCAGGTCCTTCACGGCTTTGGACGCGTTGTCATAGGCAAGTCGGGCGACAAGCTCAGTCTCGATGTGCGACGTACCGCTCTCGATGATTTCACGTGAGAGCGACACCGCACGCTCGACCTCGTCAACGTCTTTGGCTCCTTCACAGCCGATGCGCACGACACAACGCAGATTGTCTAGAAGGCCACCAAGCGAGTCGTCTGCGCGGGCTTTCATCCACGGCCAGGAGAGAGCAACCGCAACGGCGGCTAGGTTCGCTCCGGCTGCAATCATGTGTGAATACCGCGGGTAACGATCCAATTGGAGGCAGTACCAGAGGTCATTGCCACCTTAGCGGACTCTGGCGTGGCACCAGGCGGAGGCACCCCGGCGACAACGGCGAGGTGACGGGCAGGAAGGGAGGAGATGTTGTCAAAGCACACCTCTAGCCGATGGCGAATGTACTCGAGGTGCAGATCGTGCATCTCGATTACAGTGATGGCGCCGCCACCCGTAGCAGCGACGCGCAGCAACGACGTGTTGGCGAGGGCATCGAGGGTCTGAGCAAAGACAACATCGTCTTCTGGGACTGTGGCGCGGAAGTTGGCGACGTCGATGGGCGCGTCTGATGGAAAGACGCCGAGCATGGCGTAAATGGCGAGTGCTATCGGACGGTCGAGGTCGTCGATGCTGCGGAGGGTCCATGTGATGATATCAAAGATGTGGGCGTACTTGGCGTCGGTGCCGCCTTCTGACTTGCGGTGCTTGTCGAAAGCACGTTTGGAGGCTGAATCAAAGTTGGCAACAGCGGCGTCAAGTGCAGCCTCGCCAGAAATGGACGAGCCAAGGACGGCGAGGGCGAGGGCATGGCCACGGCAAAAGGTCGCGAGGGAGACGATGCGGGTATCGTTGAGAGCGAGGGTGTTTGCCCACTCAGGTGAGCCCTTGGCGAGGTAGTTGCGAAGGACAACAGCAGCGTCGTCTGGGGCAAACGTACCGAGCTCGATGGAAGAGGCGGAGTTGGTAGCAACAGCGGCGTTGCGCGAGGTGACGAGGACGGCATGCGGGGCTGCGATATGGTTGGTGAAGACGGAGGCCTGGCGGGTGGTCCACCCGTCGTCGAGGATGAGCAGGATGCGAGTGCCGGCGTCGGCGAGGGACCGGGTCTTGGCAGCAAGAATGGGTTGGAGGTCATTGAGGCCAGCTTGTGCATCGATTGCGCAACCGAGGCCTTGCTTCAGGAAGTAGGACATGCGGCTGGCAATGGCGATGGGAGATGTCTTGTCCTCACCGAGAGGGAGCCAGAAGACGGAGAAGACCGAGGTGATGGCGGGATGGATGGCGACATCGGCAGCGAGTGACGACTTGCCGACGCCGCCGAGCCCGTTGACACCGACGACTGAGACGTTGTTCGCACCAAGAAGGACATTAATGACCGCATCACGAGTGTCAGGGAGCGGGTAGTACTCGGATGGGTTAGGTGGCGGCGGCATGGGCGAGGGGCGGAGGGGTGAACTGGGAACAATGGCCTGGATGCGGTCGGCAAGATCGTCGACCATGTCAACCCACGCTGTCGCGAGCCGGGGAGTACGGAGCGAGGCCGCGCTCGAGGAGGGCGTAGAGAGTGCCGATGCGGGCGACTTTGAGCTCGGGGCGTGAGTTCATCGTGTTCCCAGAGATCCGTGAATCGACGGTTGTTCGGGATCTGCGGCGGGAAAGCCGCCGCCATGTACGCCAGTAGAGGGTGGCTGGCACTCCCGCGGGCCGTCACGCCATGCCGGCGACGAGACGGTCTCGAGCGAGAGCTCAGCGTCGGCAAAAACCGGAAAGACCTTGCAAGTCGGATCAGCGAGGGCTGCGTTGGCCTCTGCGATGGCCCACCGTGTGACGATCGAGTACTTTGAGACAACGACGACCACAACGTGTGAGTCACGGGCAAGCCGGGCACAGTCTGCGGGATCTTGGACAATCATGGCGTCGAGCGACTTGACGTCGAGAAAGACGCGCAGACCGAGGGCAACGAGCTTGTCGCGGAGCGAGAGCATGAGCCCCTTGTCGTTGGAGCCGTGGCAGAGGAAGACATCGTATGACTTGGAGGAGGACGGCCCGGCTGGTGACGGTGACATCGCTTCGATATGCATGTTCTGGGGGACTGCGGAGGAAGGGGTGGCCGGGTGGCCGAGCTGGCGTTGGCGGTGAGCAGCGGGCGGGGCGCTTGGCAGAACCCTGCTGCACTGGTGCGTGTGCAGGGCGCGGGGGGTCCCATGAGTTCCCTGGGGCGGGGTCCATGGGCACAGCGAGAGGGGTGTGCGGAGTGTGCGTTGCGTGTGACGGCGAGGG